CAGAATTTCCCCAGCAGATTCCTACACCTCACTGGGCAGAACTACCTTTTATAGTCACCTCCAGCCACAAGAGAGGATGAAGAAGCCAGCGTTTCCCTTCCCAGTAACTTGGGGCAGGCAAGGGGGAGGAGGTGGGAGTAGGAGCTGGGTTGGCAGACCACAGTGTCAGCCACAGACAGCCAGTCACCGGGATTTGTTAGCCATCACCCTTTAGTGGACATTTCCATTTCCAGCTGTTCCTTCTTATAAGTAACATCACAATAAGCCATGTGCATAAATAGCCAGATCTCTGACAATTTCCTTAGTATGATGTCCTAGAAGTAGAATTAGAGGTCAAAGGTATCATTACTTTTACATCTCTTGTACACATTACTTTGCTTTCTGCACATTAGAGTTGCTTTCTGGAAAGATCTTAACACTGTGCATTACACACACACTGCACGAGAGCTGGGTGCACTCTTAGTAGTTAGGACACACTCTTAGTCGTCCATCTGTAGGACTTTGGCAGCACGTCATCATTCATGCAGTTGTGCTCCCTAGGAGCTCGAGGGTGCATCCTTTAGTGTTTTGTAGCACCTGGACCTCAGGGGCTCGGGGGGGGGGGGGCAGGGGGGGGGGGCAAGCCGGCACAGAGGAGTCACAAGACGCTGCAGCCAGCTTCCCATCTCTGATTTGCCAGTTGAATAAGTTTTTATTAGGTGCATGACGGGCATTTGGGGTGGGACAGTTCTTTAGGGTCACCCCAAACATTGCAGGATGTTTTGCCTCCCTGGCCCCACAGGGAAATGCCAGCAGCACTCTCCAGTCTGTGGCACGAAGAAAAGTCCCCTCCCCTCACTGCGCTGCATGCCACCAGCCCACTGTGGGAAGCCTACATTGTTGCATTTTGGCAAGCACATGGCGCTGCGGCAGACAACGCTGAACTGCCCAGGCCCCTGGGAAGTGGCTTTAGACTCCACACANAGTATCTCTCCATGTCATTAACATTCTTGAAAATTGTATTTAATGGCTACTTTGTATTTTAGTAGTTATGAACGAACCATAGCCTTTTCATTTTTGCCAGACTTTATTCTATAACAAAATTGAGATAGTATATATAGGTGAGAAATTCTTTTGTCTGCAAACAGCAGAAAGCCTAACCCAAGTAACTAGGGTTTTCCTCACATGAGAAGTCTGCAGGTCGCTGCTGGGGTTGATTCAGCAGCTCTACAATGTCACAGCAAGTGCCTCGGGACACTCCTGACCATTCCCTTGTGCTTACTGATTCACGCCTGCAAGGCGGCTGCCCGGCTGCAGGCATCACATCTGTACTCAGTGTGGGAAGAAGAGGCCAGGGAACTTCACGAGTAGCATCTGCCCTTTTCTTTAAATACCAAAGCTTTTGCAGAATTTCCCCAGCAGATTCCTACACCTCACTGGGCAGAACTACCTTTTATAGTCACCTCCAGCCACAAGAGAGGATGAAGAAGCCAGCGTTTCCCTTCCCAGTAACTTGGGGCAGGCAAGGGGGAGGAGGTGGGAGTAGGAGCTGGGTTGGCAGACCACAGTGTCAGCCACAGACAGCCAGTCACCGGGATTTGTTAGCCATCACCCTTTAGTGGACATTTCCATTTCCAGCTGTTCCTTCTTATAAGTAACATCACAATAAGCCATGTGCATAAATAGCCAGATCTCTGACAATTTCCTTAGTATGATGTCCTAGAAGTAGAATTAGAGGTCAAAGGTATCATTACTTTTACATCTCTTGTACACATTACTTTGCTTTCTGCACATTAGAGTTGCTTTCTGGAAAGATCTTAACACTGTGCATTACACACACACTGCACGAGAGCTGGGTGCACTCTTAGTAGTTAGGACACACTCTTAGTCGTCCATCTGTAGGACTTTGGCAGCACGTCATCATTCATGCAGTTGTGCTCCCTAGGAGCTCGAGGGTGCATCCTTTAGTGTTTTGTAGCACCTGGACCTCAGGGGCTCGGGGGGGGGGGGGCAAGCCGGCACAGAGGAGTCACAAGACGCTGCAGCCAGCTTCCCATCTCTGATTTGCCAGTTGAATAAGTTTTTATTAGGTGCATGACGGGCATTTGGGGTGGGACAGTTCTTTAGGGTCACCCCAAACATTGCAGGATGTTTTGCCTCCCTGGCCCCACAGGGAAATGCCAGCAGCGCTCTCCAGTCTGTGGCACGAAGAAAAGTCCCCTCCCCTCACTGCGCTGCATGCCACCAGCCCACTGTGGGAAGCCTACATTGGTGCATTTTGGCAAGCACATGACGCTGCGGCAGACAACGCTGAACTGCCCAGGCCCCTGGGAAGTGGCTTTAGACTCCACACAGACCTCTCCTCAGACACCTCCAGAAATGCACATCGCCCAGCTGCTCTGCCTGCAGATGCCAAGAGAGAAGGCTGCTCCCCAGCCTGCCTCAGAGCTGGGGGAGGCCTACAGAGGTCAGCTGTTCTCTGGCGGCCAGAAGCTGAGCTTGTCCTGGGACAGCAAGGGGAGAGGATGCCGAGCAGGGCCTTGTGGGTGGGGGGCGGTGGTCGAGGGAACCCGCAGCCAGAGCATGACAAGGAGGAACAGAGAGCCCAGGCCACCAGTGCAGGCCTGAGTCAGCCGTCGTCAAGGGGAATGTGGACGGAAGGGTCAGCTCAGTAGGCCAGTCCCTGCGCTGGCTTTCAGTTGGAGAAACAGCACGTGAAAGGCGTAAAGGCAGTTTCAGGGACTGGAGAAGTTGTGGGTGCGCAGTGCAGGGTCAGGTCCTGAGGGGTCTGAGGAACTGCCATGGGCTTTGTCCCGTGCCTGTGTGCTGGAGACCACAGCGGACTGCAGGGAGGGGAGGCGCTAAGGGCAGAGGCGTCATTAGGGGGCCTTGGTGACAGTCGGGCAGAGATGAGTGCTCGTCCCAGCCCAGCAGGACAGCTTGGAGGAGAAGCAGGAGGTAACTAGAATGTTTACCTGACATCCTCCATGGGGAAGAGTGGGTTGTTTCACGTACAGTACTTAAGTTTCTAAAGTAAAACACTTTACCTTCTAAGAACATACAAAAAGATGCCAGCTGCCATGTGGGACAAGGAGACTGGTAGGACACGTGCACAGCAAAATTTCTCTAAAGATCTCAAATGACCAAAGAATAAACTTTCAGCTTTTTGCTAAGAGTTATATTTATCTGTTTCTTTAGATTCCTAGCAAGTAAAGGGGTTTTTTTTGTTTGTTTATTTATTTGCCTTCAAGCCAATTCATAAATATTGATATGTTTAAACATTTTGAAACTCAAAATGAGAAGAGTTTTCTTTGGTTCCACTGGAGACTTGTGTGTATTCTTACAGCTGAGATCACGTTCCTCACTGTGAAGAACGGCGGTGAAAACACGGAGTGTCTTTTAGTTGCAGTTGGCAATATCTGGCCGGTTTGAGCAGCAGCAACACAGATGCCTTCTAATCTTTGTCCCCTGCGTCTGCTGGGTGCTGCAGTCCGCTTAAAGAGGGCTCATGGTCTGACCTCCCTCTGCCTCTGAGCATGACTGTCAGCCCATTGTACAGAGGCTCAGAGTGGGGAAGCCTCCTGTTTGGGGACATTTATGTAGCACTTGCTAGTGGAGACTGGGGGGTAGGCGTGTAGCCAGTGTCTCCCCAGATTGGGTGCCTGCTCAGGTGTAGTTGCACCTCTGAGCCCAGGCAGGTGAGGCTGACAAGCCCTGTCCAGCACCCTCAGGCACTCCGGGCCAGAAGGCCATCACTCAGTGCATCTCCTGTATTTGCCAGGCTCTGCTCATGAGCACCCAGGCTAAGTCTGGGTGTGTTTCTCCAGCTCCCCACACAGTGCAGGGGACACATTGGGCACCCACTGGTGCTGATGAGTGGCCACTGCAGGCCCCGCTCTGCTGGGCTGAGCCCTCATCCTTGTGGGTGGCCACGCCCGGCTTTCGGCAGGTGCTTCCTTAGGCTGTCAGCACCACCCTGCTCCACTGTGCTCTGCCCCATCCACCACCCGTCCAGCTTTGCCCAAGGGTCCGATTTGGGCTTCTGTGGGGACCAAAAAGATTGCACTTGCAAGATGATTTTAGGTGTTCCATTAATTGACGTTGAATTACATGGTGAGAAAATCACTCTGTTATCAACAATTTCCATCCTAATGGTGTCCCTGGAGGTCTCAGTTTGATACTAGTATATCTTTAACGCCTCTCTAATACTTTCAATCCCCCTCTTTTAAATCACGAGAGAGGTTATACCCAGAACTTTTGACAAGCAATGTTCAGCAGAAAGTAACAACTTTGTTGTCATCAATATGTTCTTAAAGCTACCATCCATTGATGGTAGTGATGCAGAGTTTCCTATTTAAGATAAATTTAAGCATAAAAAGAGAGTTGGTATGAAGACAGAATAGTAATAATACAAGAGGTAGTGGATTGGTAAGGCAGAAGTTATGAAGGTGACTTGGGAATGACAGGCATGTGGAAAGAGGTTGCTTAAATCCCACTTGGACAGAAAGGTGGAGATTAGGCCCTGGCCACGCTGCAGGCAGAGCCCCGAGTGCCTGTAGAGGCAGCCTCTGCACAGAGGCAGAGCGGGCTGGGGAGCTGCGAGGCGGGAAGTCATTTCTATTCTAGCTGTGGTTTCCTCCTCTCTAAAATGAGTAGCCTGTGGCTGTCTCGTTTATGCCAGCACTTGCCTAGTGTAACAGCAGCTCGATAGTATGGTGGTGCCCTGGACACTTTGTTTAAACCTACTCCACGTGATAGCTGGGAGATGCATACCAGGGGTTTTCAAAAAGTTCCTGGGAAGATTCACACTATCTTTTAATTCCGTATTTCCGCACTTTTTGAAGCGCCCTGGTATGCACGCCTGCAGGCGCGCACGTTCCCGCGCCGCCGCGTTTGGAAACGTTGCACGGGCCCAGCACCCGTCGGTGACAGGGGCTGCGGGGTGGTCGGACGCTGCAGTCGCCTGCCGTAACCCGCGCATTAACAGCACTGTTCCCCTTGCAGGTTAGGAATCTGAAGCAATGGGCGACTGGAGCTTTCTGGGGAAACTTCTAGAGAGCGCCCAGGAGCACTCCACGGTCATCGGCAAGGTCTGGCTGACGGTGCTGTTCATCTTCAGGATCCTGGTGCTGGGGGCGGCGGCGGAGGAGGTGTGGGGCGATGAGCAGTCGGACTTCACCTGCAACACGCAGCAGCCGGGCTGCGAGAACGTCTGCTACGACCGCGCCTTCCCCATCTCGCACATCCGCTTCTGGGCGCTGCAGATCATCTTCGTGTCCACGCCCACCCTCATCTACCTGGGGCACGTGCTGCACCTGGTGCGCATGGAAGAGAAGAAGAAAGAGGCGGACGACGGCGCGCAGCCCGGCGCGGGCCAGG